CCCGAGTCCGGGAGAAAGCTGGAGAACGAGGAAGTCAACATGCATGTAGGATAAAGGGGGGGGAGCAGAGGGGAGGAAAGGTATGACAAGAAGGACCAGGCCAGAGAAAGAATCGGCGGAGACAGGCAGAGTAGGGAGTGAGAAGGAGATGGAGAAAAAGGTGGCAAGGCAAAGAGGGGTAGGAGGGGATTGCACGGAATTGAGAGGGAGACCTCAGGTCCAGCTCAGTCAAAGTTTCTCCGCAGGAGTCTGCGATAAGCTCGACGATCGTGTCTGACAACCCGCGGCAGCCCGACAGGTTCAGCCTCTTGAGGTTCTTCAAGGCGCCAAGCTGGGGTTGAGCTGGGGTCAGCAGAACAGCTCAAGATTTGGGAGGCAGACCTGCAAGAAGGCCTCGGCATCGAGCTGGGAAGAGTTTTTGAGAGAGAGAGATTCCAGAGTGTCGGCAAGGGAGGAGATGGAGCGGAGGGCGCAGATGGAGATGTTAAGACAGTCGGAGAGCTCGAGAACTCTTAGCCTGCGGCAGAGTGAGATGATGAGGATGCGGAGGAGGAGAATAAGGACTGGGAGAAGTGGAGAGGAAGCAGAGGAGCAGAGACAACGAGGCGAGGAGAAGGGATGGTTGAAGGAGACTGCACGTCTACATCATATCATCCCATGTCATCACAAACAGATCACTTTAAACATCCTCTCATTACACTTGATCTCACCTTGGCAATGCCTTGACGGCACTGGAAATTCCCGCATCCGACAATCTGTAGCAGCCTCCGAGGATCTGGAAACAAGGAATGCTCACAACCTCTCACAACCTTGTTTGATCTTCTCTACCAGCGTGTGGAGATTCAAAGAGTTCTTACAGACTTTCTCCAGCAATCTGTCGCTCAACGCACGGCCGCAGTAAACCAAATTCAAGACCTCGAGCTCCGAACCCTAACGAGAACAATGAGGGAACAAGGGAACAACAGTTTCAGCCATGGTCGCAACAAACGGTTGCAGCAAACAATGAAATGATGCAAGCGGAAACAACGACAGATTCAGGGTAGAAAGCAATCGATGGGAAGAAAGAATTGACACAAGAACAAGTGAAAAGAAGAAGAAGGGATAAGTGAAGAAGGGATAAGTAATTCAACATTTCTACCTGACATCGTTCGAAGGCTTTCTCCAGATCTCCTTCTCCTATCTTGCTGCAATCCGGCAGAGCGAGAATGGATGTCTCCTTATCAGTGAAGATTGGAAGGATCTCTGGAGACAGCTTCCTCTTTTTACCCAGCAATTCGCAAATTTTTGCCTGTTCACTTCGATCAAAAGAAAGCATTCATTGAACCAGCGGACAACACAAACGGCAACTTGAAATTCGATGCATTGACAAAGAGTACAGAGGATAGTCAGCTCCATTACCTTCATCTCCGGCAAGATACTTCCAAGGCCAAACTCGAGGCAGGCTTCGATATGCGTAGCTACAACATCGATGCACATATCCTGTAGGGATGGACAACCTGCCTCGACAACCTTGGAACATCTGTTGGCCTTGGGGGTCCACGAGACAAGCTTCTCTGTCTGGTTGTTTGCCGTCTTGAGGGCTTCAGCTACAGCCGAACGCCTCTCGTATCTGAGCAAGCTGGTCACATGCACCAACACCATCCCTCTCACTTACAGCTCCGAGGCCGTAGACCATGGTCCCGGCCAGGACTCGCGGTTTGTTGTTTCAGGAGCCGCCGCTTCTCCCTCCTGATCGTTGTTCTGTACCTCTTCCCTCCTCTCCCTCCTCCCGCCCCTGGCTGATCTCCTCGACTCCGTATCCCTCCCCTCATCATCCTTGAACCTGAGCCAGCCGTTTGGTCAGCAACAAGACAATCGGCAACAAGCACGTACCCCTGTCCTCTCGCAAACGCTGCTGCTCGGCTTTCGGCTATCTCTCGATTCCGCCGCTTCCCAAGGGCCGTGGCTCCTCCTTGATCAGGTTCGACAGCAGGGGTTCTGTTAGCCGGTGCGCTGCTTTCTCTGCTGCTACGACTCGTAGTCCCCATGGGCAGGTTGCCTTCTCCTGTCTTGGCAGTCTTCTCGCTACCTCCTTGACTTCCTTCACTCAAAGACAGATTCCTCCTCTTTGCTCTCGTCTCCTTCACAGGAGTGTCGCTGGCGCTTCTTGAATCGTCCTTGGTGCTCGTCGTGTCGTTCTCGTTGGGGACTTCAGGATCAAACACGAACGTTCCATCCAACTCTGACTGCGGCCTTGTGATCCCTGCTTTCTCTAGATACGCTCCAACGTCACCCGTAGAGCGCAAATAACTTCCATCTGGCGCGACATAAACTATACTGACTCGCCTGGTTTTGTACACGAGGCGAACAAACTCAATCCCATCAATCTGGAAAAAAACAGAAAGAATGAGCCAAGGAAGTCAGATGACAATCAAGGGACGTTACTAACGAGAGGAATCAAGAAATGACTACATCATCGACATCTTTCGACTATCACGAACATCTCGAGGTGATCTTCTTTCCCACAAAATCGACTTCCTGGGCCGGGTTTCTCAGCATTCCTTTGTACTTGACAATCCCTTAACTCGCCTTACCACCGCAAACAGCATGGAATGCTTCTTCTATCGTTCTCCTCTCCTCGTTTGCTCCTCCTCCTCCTCCTCCTCCTCTGTTCCCCACTTCTCCCTCCCTCCCATTTCCACTTATTACTCACCGCTACGCGTGTTGCCGCCATTTCTTGCTGGTACCGTTATCATTAGCAACGGAATAGAATTTACCCACATCCACCCTACGGCCCATATCTTTCAGGCCAGCGCAGGGCCAGCGTCCCTCCGATAAAACGGAGGGATGCCTCCCGTCAAAAAGAGTTGTCCAACCTCGGAGCCAGACGGCCCCTTAGCCAGCCGGTAGCGAAGGTTGGTTTCGATCCAACGACCTCGAGGTTATGAGCCTCGCACGCTCCCACTGCGCCACTTCGCTGAGAGCTCGCCTCGTCGCTGGGTCAATAGAATCGGAGCTCAGTCTGACCGGGATGGACTCTAAGGCCGACCGTCGCCGGACCGTGGCAGCCCGGTGCTGTACTACCGTACGATCCGATCATGTGATCGGCAATGCGGCACACCGTGGCATGCCGCGTACGGTGTGCGGCAGTACTAACCGTGCGGCCGCGCCCGCCGCGCCGGGCCCCGGCCGCGGGGACCGGACGGCCCCGTCACAGTACGGTCCGATCGGACGGTCCGATCCGACGGACGCCGGACGTCCGACGCGCCGCGCGGCCGATCATCGGCGGATGATCAGCCCGGCCGGCCGGCTGGCCGGCCGGCGGAGGCTGTCGTGAGTTTACTAAAGACAGGAAATAGTTCCGATCATGGCAGGGGATCGACCATGATACGGAGGGAGCGGAGGAGAAAGGGAGGAGGAGAAAGGGAGGAGGAGAAAGGGAGGAAGTGCAGGAGGTAAGGAGGATGAGAGGAGGATGTGGGAAGGAGAGGACATGGAAAGAAGTTTGCTGCTCGCATTGAGCTGTGACGGGGGTTCCATGCTGGATACGTCTTTGCTGCAGCCATGAAGATGCTTCGTCAGCGGCTACTGTTGTGGGTCCTGTGCCCTGTTGTCCTCATCCTGTGCGCTGAAGAACCGGAATGGAGAGTTCGTCGGGGCCTCAAGATCGTCAGCCCGAGAAACGGGGCAAGGTACTGGATCCCCGCGGACGGGAACAGGCAGAGTTGGACTTTCATGATCAATCATCGAGTGATGGACATGTGCTTCCGAGTCTCTTGCACGCTGAATGAGCAGACGTTCCCCGACTCGGAGGTTTGCGGCAGCGGCTCCAACGGGCTGTACATCCTGGAGGACCTGTGGTATTCTGCTATCCGAGAAGGAGGGAACGTGTTGAGTTGTCTGCTGGACTTCCAGAACTCAACTCGTACCATCCCTCCTGCCCACGTCTGGAAGTTCACGGACCAGAGCCGGTTCGACGTGTTTGCCATGGAGACATCGATCGAGGTGCGCGCGAACGAATCAACAGAAGCCTTCTTGCCGAGGTTCAGAGTAGAGAGGGAACAACTGCTGCTATACCCTCCTCCCGTCCACAGCCATCGCCTCTGGTTCGTCTCCCTCAACGTGAGTGAGCATGGGCCGAAGCAGGAGATGTACAGAGCGTACGTGATCAACGTTCCAGAGCACCTGTCACGATGGAATGCAGTGGAGGAAAACCTCCTGCAGGTCTCTAAGATCGATCCTGTGCGATGGTTGGCTGTTCCTCTTGACAATGAAAGGATCACTCAGCACCACCCTCCCCTTGAGACAATAGAGGACAGGAAGACGACCTCTCTCTGGCTATCCTTCACTGAAGCCTGGAGGCATTTCTCAGAGGACGGGAACTTCGAGGAAGACGGTAAGGAACGTCAGAGTTTGAGCAGGAGTAAGAGGATGAGTCAGATTGGGCGTTTTTCCTGGAAGATGACGCGGAATGGCATCATTCGATCAAGGATGATCCTGGGGCAATCCTTCGCTCTATCGAAGCAGGTGAATCTTTGCCCTCTCCTACTACTCCTGCTCCTCTTGATCCTCCTGCTCCTTCTGCTGCTCGACCAATCCTGATGATCGACCAACAGGGTTGGCTGTGGCATCGGACGACGGGTTTGCATACCTGGGTATAGCGACGGAGAGCACAGGGTCTGCTGGACCGTCACAGCCTTATGCAGGAGTATGTAGTCCGTCCTTCTTCCCTCCAGGAGAAAGTTGGGTATCTGCCGACGTGGTGATCCGGTACACCATCTTGCTCATGTTGTACGCGTAGACTCATGTGACGTCACTAGTCGAGGATCCGGCTGGTGCTGTCATGGATTTGCTCTGAAGAAGTGATCCACTTAGTCTTTCCTTCCTCTGCAGCATTTCAAGTTCCGGTGATAAACAATCTTCTACGCAGATGGTTGGCAAGGAAGTTCGAGGAGGAGCTGAGTTGGATAAGGATCAAGGGGAAGGATAGTCTGCATGTTGATGTGAAGTTAAGAGAGTGGATCAGGTCAGTACTTGATGTTTCTTCAAGTTCTTTCCCATCTCCTCGCAGCTTCAGCTTCCTTCGCTCAGTGTCAAGCTCTGTTTGCTCTCAATGATCCTCTGAACAGGCAGCAAGAAGCAGGCGCCGGCTTCTACGGTTGACCCTTTCAATCTCTCGTCTCAGTACCTAACGAATAACAGGCATGCCGGTGATTGGGGCAAACCTCAGTGACGGGCCCGGCAATATTTTCCATGGGATCCTTGTGCAAGTGAGGATTGAGGGGGTACAAACACTTTTGATGATGACGAAGAAAGCAGAATCGAAGAGATTTCACTTCAGTGCGCAGGGAGGAGAGGGCAGAGGTCAATCTCATTACAAGCTTGCGCAGTTTCTTGACATCCTTATTGTGCAGAATGCAACTGAGCAGTAATGGCGGCCTACATGTTCTGAGCAGTCGAAGCAGAGCACCTGTGTAGGAGCACTCTAACTTGTTCTTCTGAAAGTCCAGGCAACATTTAGTGAGCTCCGACGACTTTGCTTCTCAACGGCATATTATCTTGGATCAACTTAGATGATCTATCAATGCGAGATTACCCCAGTAGGAAATTGTAAGATAAAGAAGCATTTCAGTTGCATGACGTGAAGTACTTTGGTTCGCTTGATCAAGACCCATTGTATCCTAAACCCCATGACAAATCCGAGAAATGCAACTTTTCAACACAAAATTCTCTACAAAAAAAATTGTAATCACAAAAAATATTTTCGTTAGCAAACAGAAAAAGATTTCACGTTCCCACATCAGCACTAAACATATCACAAATCTTTGAAGAGCAACTTCGTTTGCCCCCAAACTTCCTCGATAGACTGAACGGAAGAAATCAACTTGAGCTGGTCTTTCGCTTTGAACTTGTCGATGACTGGCATTGTTTCTTCAATAAAAATCTTGAACCTGTTTCATAGTCAATTTGTCTAATGTGGCAGGGACTTGACGGAAGAGCACCTTTTTCTGATAGATTCGATGTTGTCGTCGTCTCGTCCGCTACTCTGAGCTCGCGCAAGGAGCCTTCGAACCACGTTAACCAATGTCGCAAATCACAATGTATCTCTTTGTACCTTCTTTCAAGCTCTTCCTCCGGGCACTCAAAGAATAGGCAGAATGCAACGTGAACATCATCTCCAACGACATCGTACCATCCCTGCTCTTCATCGTCACAGGAAAACACACGGCCACCACGACAACAACCGACCTCATAGTTGTTCAAACTCCTCGGGAAACCGTCGATAAGGAATTTCTTCGTCTCGCTCTTCTCCATCGCTGCTAGCAGGAGCTTGACAGTGATTTCCACTGGCACTATTTTCCCTTCCCTAATGTCTGCCGGTCCTGATCAATCACATGCTCCCAACCTCACCCTTATCACTTACAGGTGTTGATGAGCTCGGCGTTTGCCGAGCCAGTCGCCCTCTCTGCCCTCAGCAGGTCGCCAGCTGAAAGATGGCACCATCCAAACTCCTTCACGATGTTGGTGCACTGAGTTCCTTTCCCTGCACCTGGCCCGCCAAGTACGAAAACCACCTAAAGTCGCTGTCAGGGTGTGTTCCCGCTCTCAGTTAGACGAGTTGGCTGTTTTGACTTCGGTGGAGGGATGAAGGATATTCCCAAGGAAGTGGAAGGGTACATGTGATACAAAATGGAAAGCAGCGATAAAAACAACAGCGCAGGTGATGTTCACACAGGGCAATCTACAACTAGTTGAATCAAGGACAAGATCAGCAACAAAAGGTTCCTAGTCGCCTGGAAGATCCGGAATGCATGGAGGACAGCAGGAAAACATGTATGTGAGAAGAAGAGCATGGATTTTCTTCCAGGCAAGTACTCAATGATCGTAACCCCATCTCCCATCCTCCTCTCCTCCATGTCGCCTCTTTCCCTCCCCACCTCCTACCGTCTTCTTCGCCGCGTCCATTGCGCCACGTGGAAAGAATTCCTAGTGTGACAACAGTTGGAACTCGTTATGACTGAAACGGTTCATAACGGTTTCTTCTTGTCGAGAAGGGTACCCAAGTAGATGGAAGACCACTGTTCTGATAAGAAGGGGTACTTTGCACAGGAATTATGGGGGTACTTTGCCACCCTACAAAGCAAGTCCAACAAAACCGGTTGTTGACAAGAGCAAAAGTACCGGTGATCCATGACTTCTCCACCGGTAGTTTTACTCGATTGAGACATGGGTAGTGAAAAGCTTGAGGTCGTAGTTTTTTTTTTCTTGGCAGGGCTGATTCGTATTTGGTTGGTGGGGGTACTCAACTACCCCACCGAATCTCATATCCACCCACCTATTCATATGCATTTCATTGCGAAAACATCCGGTAGTAAAAATACAAAATGGATCTATGGGGTTGTGCAGTCGAATGAATATTAGGGGTGGGGGTGGAGGAATCATCTGTAGAGGAAACGAGTCTATAGATGGGGGTGATCGGGGGAATGTCAGGGGGTAGGGTAGTGATACACGAGGGTGGTGGGATCGAAGGGGGTAATGTTTACTGGAAACATGAAGGTAGGGTACTCAGGAAACCGAGAGATGGGTGGTAGGGTGTTCGAGTGTTCTCTTTGAGATTGGAGTGATCGGGGGAAATATGCAAGCATGACCCGGGGGGGGTACATTCCGAATATTCTAACCAAGGGTGGGGTATCTCCTTATTGGGGGTAGGGGTTATATTCATTGTAGGAGGGTGGGTAAAATCTGAAGAGAAGGAGGGGTATTCTCAAAACATCATCGTCTAGTTATATAGGGTAGCAATAGAAGAAGGCGGTGGGGTGGGGTGGTGTTAATCCAACCCAGGGTCACTCTTGCTTTGAGCTACTTGGGGGTAGGGGTCCTGACATTTTCTTTCCAGGGGAGACGTAGTGTGCAGGGCGAGGGGTAGGGGTGCTTTATCAAGGGTCGGGTAGGGGTGAATTGGTTGTGATGGACATAAGGGGGGTTCAAATTCCATGAAAGGGGTATGCTTTCCTACTACGGGTACTCTTCAGAACCTTGATGGAGTAGGGGTGTCTCATGAATCCTTTTACAGGCAAAGTACCGGGTCATCAGACTGTTGGCCGCGAACTTGACCGAGGGTGGTATACCTCTTTACTGTACGGAGAAGGTAGGGTGGTTTCGAAGGCATTTGGAACACATGGGGTAGTGAGTACGATGCCAGTCCATATGGGTGGTAGGGGTGGAGGTAGCAGGGTATGGTGAATGTGGGGGTAGGGGGACTGTGGAGCAGGGGGGTGGTTGCTCTAGGGAATAGGAGGCGAACAAGATGGTGGAGAAGAGGAGTAGAACAAGCAAGAGAGGAAAGAAGTAGAGGAATATGGCAAAGTGAATGGCGGAGAGCGTGAAAACAGCAACGAAAGGGACATCTAGGAGGAAGATCAGAGGGAGGAGAACGGAAGGCTGACTGGGGGCAACACAAGACTAAGGACCAGCAGCCGAATGTAGTGGAAAGCATCGAAGGAGAGTAAAAGAAAAGATGCTGCCGGTGTCTTTGCAATGAAGTAGATAGATGTATTCGTAAGCGAAAAAGTAATGTTGAAATCATCAACACAAGAAGTCATGCTGTTTATGATTAAGGAGGTACAGACCCGACATTTAGTAACTGTCGATGGAGGGTTGTGGCCTTCAACAAAATAGAACGATGATGTTTGACCAAAACCACGAGCTATGCAAGCATGCATTCTTGGGATATTGATTCATGCGATCCATGAGTGATGAACTTGAGTGTGTCGAATGGTCAGCATCTCGACAACCATGTAGACTCACCCCTGAACCTTTTCTGATGCATCTTGACGCAGGTTTTGTATCGCCCGTTGTGTTAGGTCTGTGCATCAATGGGGCACGGAACGGAGAGCGACAGCGTAAGTGCTCGACTTCCTGCTGGCCCTGGAAAATCAACTGTGTTGCAGGCGTCGCTGTTGAACAATGCGGAGGATGCCGATCAGAAGGGGTGAGGCGACTTGGCTACTTGATCTCTGCCATGACACTTGTTTCAGGGATGGACCCTTGGTGGAGGTGGAGCTCGCTGAGGTCTCGAACATTCAGGTGCGTGATGCATGGGATGGTGGTTAACCTGTGACTGACTGCTGGTCCTACAGGCCGAGCTCACCAAGATGCATGCAAGATTGTGGGAGAGTGATGAGATGACCGAGGAAGATGCAGAGGAGGTTGAGCGCCAGGCCAACTTGCTCAAGATCAAGATGACGGCGGCGTCGGACAAGATCAAGGAGTGGGGTATGAAGACAGGTCTTGAGAGGATGCTGGCCCACGAGAATATTACGAGATGGCACGAGGACAAGAAAGCTCCAGTGAACGAGTTCATCATTCTTGCTGGACTTCTGCCGATTGCTCTCATCTTCATGACCTTAGTTCTTGGAGCATCAACGGTAGCTTCTGTGCCTCCATTTCTCTCTGCTCATTGAAGTGATGCCAGGTCCATTTCGACGACAGTGTACCGATTAGCGGAAATCTTTTCCCTTTGGATCCTTCTCATCCTATCATCTGGCCGATGGGCCATGCATCAGCCATGGTGGAAGCTCGCATACAGATTCAGTCGGACTCGGAGCCAGGACACAGCAGCGGAGGTCATCATCGAAGGCGCAATGCATACCGCCATCAACTCCCCTCCTTCATGCGCAGCAACTCGAAGCTCTTGAGTGACTCGCATAGTTCAGCCCAAGACAGTAGCGCGCACACGCCTGAAGCTCCAAGCGGCTCGGCTGAGTCGGGTCATGGGATGGATCTGAGCCTTGACGACGGCAACCACACCTCAGCCTCTGACAGCCATGGCGAAGCGAGCGGGCACGGCAGTCGTGAAATCGTCGTTGAAATGCTCTTGGTGGAGTTTGCGAACTCGGATTGGACGCATGGAAACAAGTCTTGGGAGGCCATGAAGGCTTCTGCGGCTCATATTGAGGTTCTCGGACAGTACGATATTCGCGCCGAAGAACAGACCATCTTGCTTGAGTTCGAGCTAAAGAACGACCCATTGGATCAGTACTTCATCATGATTTCGCACATGAAAGACCCCATGGCCGTGGCAATCAACATGCACTCTCTCGGGCCGACGGGAAGCATCCAAGTCGGGATTGCCGCATTCATTATGGTTATTCTTTTCGGACTTATCATGACTGAGGTGAGCAATATCAACAAGTCAATTGCGATAGTCATATTTGCGTCTCTGTTGACACGATTTGCAATTGCAGGTTCTTCACAGAACTATGGCTGCTATGATTGGCGCAGCTCTTTGCATGGTCACACTTGCAGTGCAGAATCGTGTCCCATCGCTCACCAAAGTCGTTGGTTGGATGGACCATGGCACTCTTGGTCTTCTCTGGGGTATGATGCTCATCGTCGGCATTACGATGAGAACGGGTGTGTTCGAGTGGACGGGAGTTCTTGCTTGCAAGATGTCTGGTGGAAAGTGAGTTTTCTCTCTGATGAAACTGCCATGTCATAACAATCTGTCCGACAGCAAGACCAAACTCCTCCTCCTCCTTTGCATTGTGACAGCCGTCCTCTCCGCTTTCCTGGACAACGTTACCACGATTCTTCTTATTGCTCCTGTGACCTGCAAGCTCTGCAAGCTGGTGAACATTGATCCAAGGCCCTATCTCATCAGTGAGGCGATCTTCTCCAACGTTGGTGGGACGTCGACCATGATTGGTGAGGAGAAGTTGCTGCACGTTGGAAAAATTCCTGACGTCAGCTGATTAGGTGACCCTCCAAACATCATCATCGGCAACTTGTTGGCCAAGTACCTGGATTTCAACGCTTTCTTGTTCAACTTGGGTCCTGGCGTTATCCTGAGCAGCCCCTTTGCATTCTACTACCTCGTCTATTACTTCAAGGATGGAGTGAAAGGTCACCTCTCCGTCGACATCCCCAAATTGCAGAAGATGTGAGAACAAAGCTCATTCCCCTAGTGACATCTCGATGCTGATGCTGATGGCAGGTACCCAATCACAGACAGACCTCTCCTCATCAAGTGTGGAGTTGTCTTGGGTTGTGTCATCTGCTCCTTCTTCTTGCATCCTGTCACTCATCTTGACCCTGCCTGGATCGCGATCATGGGGGCCGTCTGGTGATGCTTGCACTGCTCCTCCCTGCGTGCTGCTTACGGAGTTGGAACAGGCTGCTGGTTGCCTTCGACATGCATCACTGCCACGAGGCTCTGCATGCCGTTGAATGGGACACGCTTCTCTTCTTCGCTGCTCTCTTTGTTGTGGTGGAGGGTGTGGGTGAACTTGGCTTGTTGCGCTTCATTGCCAACACGCTGAGCGGGATGGTGGCGACGGTGCCTGTGGAGGGGAGGCAGTACTTCTCCCTCTTCCTCATCTGCTGGGCCTCTGCGATCTTCTCTGCCTTCGTCGACAACATTCCCTTCACTGCCACCATGGTCCCCGTCATGATGCAGGTCCTTCCTCCCGCGGCCGCACCTCCTGTCCTCACCTGTCGTGCAGATGGTTGAGACTGTTCCGGGGATCAGCATCGAGCCCCTTGCGTGGGCGCTGGCGTTTGGAGCATGCTTCGGAGGCAACGGGACGCTGATTGGGTGAGTCTGGCGAAGAGGAAGAGGATGAGGGTAGTGCTGAGCTGCTGTTCAGGGCTTCGGCAAACATCGTTATGGCATCCAAGGCAGAGACTGAGGGATACCATATCTCCTTCGTGGATTTCTTCCGAGTATGATCTCGTTTCTTATGGCCTCAACGCTGACCTCGTTGCCAGATCGGATTCCCCGTGATGATCATCACCGTAGTAGTTAGCAACATCTACCTCTTCATCCTCAACGCTATGTTCTGGCAATCTCACGCTGGCGCGTGAAGTCAGCAGCCTCCTCCCGTTCATCGTGCTAGTTTACTGCCGTAAATCAAAGATCCTTTCACATCTCACATGACATGTTTTGTAGCTCGTGCTCTGCTGCTCCTGCTCTCTTACTTTGTAATCCTCATCTCATACCATGGATCTGCTCCATGTTCAACATCCGATGGTCCGACCATGACGAATCCACACTGCTTGTAGAAGTCCACCAGGTACTCCTTGCAGATCAGCGCTATCGCCCTGACCTGCTCCTTCCCCTGCACCTCCTCCACGTAGTGTCGCAGCATCCTCCTCCCTAGCCCCTGCCTCCTCATGCTCTCCTGCACTACAACCGAGTGTATGCAGAGGGTGGAGCCTTGCGGGTCATGGTGGGACATGCTCTCGTGCGTTAACTTGCTGTCCTTGCTCAGCGTCCCGTTGACAAACCCGACAACATCTTCTCCTCTCCTGCACACCATGAAGAACTCCTGGGCATGGCTGATGCGAAACTCTAGCTTCGCTCGATCGGCACCCTCGTCTGCTGGGTACGAGGAAGACTCGAGTTGCTCCACGACGTCGAGGTCCTCAAGGGAGGCTGAAATGCTGAGGGTCAGGAGAAGCAGCTGAAAACAATCACCCCTGATCCACACACAACATACCATTCTGATCTCAGTCCAACC